GGTTGGTGAAAGAAGGCAAAAAAAATCCCTTTTCCTATGCTCACCTTCTAGTTGGATGCCAGCAGAAAGTTCTGCAAAAGAAGTTATAACTGCTGAGTGAGGAAAATGAAAGCAATCTTTTTATTTTTAAAATATAACATATTCTTTTTTGTTTTTTTTTGTTTAGATTTCTTTTTATTATTTTTTTTTAATATTGGAAAGGCGGATATAGAGAGAGGAGAGACAGAGAGGAAGATCTTCCGTCCGATGATTCACTCCCCAAGTGAGCGCAACGGCCGATGCTATGCCAATCCGAAGCCAGGAGCCTCTTCCTGGTCTCCCACACAGGTGCAGGGTCCCAAAGCCCTGGGCCGTCCTCGACTGCTTTCCCAGGCCACAGGTGAAGAGCCGGAAAGGAAGCAGGGCCGCCGGGATAGAACCGGCGCCCATATGGGATCCCGGGCGCGCAAGGCGAGGACCTTAACCACTGCGCCATAGCACCGGGCCCAATATAACATATTCTTTATGTTATAGTCACTGGTTCAGTCCCCACATGCTCAGCCAAAGTTGGTGAACGCTAAACTCCATGCAGGTCTCCATGTGGCTGGCAGGGACTGCCTGAGCTGACCCATGCTGCCACTCCGGTGCGCAAGGGAAGGAAGGAGGAACCAGGAGCATGGCTAGCCTGGGTATACTGATGTGGCACCAGGAATCTGAACTGACACTCTAACCACTAGGCTACACACCTGTCCCCAAAGGTGGTTTTTGTTTTTGTTTTTAAGATTTGCTTATTTCTTTGAAATGCAGTTACAGAGGGAATGAATAAGAACAACTGTGAGAGAGAGAGAGAATCTTGCATACATCCACTGGTTCACTCCTCAAATGGCCATGGTGGCCAGGGCTGACCTGGAGCCATTTTAGGAGCCCAGTGCTTCATTTGGGTCTCCCATCTAAGCGCAGGGACCCACGGGTCATCACCGCCTGTGTTCCCAGGTGCAGCAGCAAGGGGGAGCTGGAGCCAAGGCAGGGGGGCTGGAGCCAAGGCAGGGCAGCTATGACTCAACTGGCTCTTCCACAAGGAAAGCTGGTGTAGCAGATGGTGGCTTATGATGCCAAGCTGCAGTGCTAGCAGCCTCCTTTTACTAAAAACCCATTCGAGAGATGAAGGTCTTTACTTCCCCATTATAGTTTGCAGAATTTTACAGACTCATTGAAGTCATTTGAGTTCCTGGACACATAGAGAAGAGCTATAAAAGCATAAAACAGGGATTGGCGTTGTGGTGGAGCATATTAAGCCTGTTTGTGCTCCCAGCATTCCATACCAAGTCTGGTTCTATCCAGCTTCCTGCTAATGTGTCTGGGAAAGCAGTGGAAGATGGCTTAAGTGCCAGGTCTCTGTATCCTTGTGGGAGACTGGGCTGAAGCTCTTGGTTCCTGGCTTGAGCCTCATCCAGCCCCAGCCACTGCAGCCATTTGTGGAGTGAACCGCTCCTCCTCTCTCTGTAACTGTTTCTTAGAGCCTGGTGTGGCACCTAGTGGCTGAAGTCCTTGCCTTGGGTGCTCCAGGATCCCATATGGACGTTGGTTCTAATCCTAATCCTGGTGGCTCCACTTTCCAATGGATAAAAGATCTATCTGTCTCTCTTTCTCTCTGTATATATACCTTTTCAATAAGAATACATAAATCTAGGGGCCCAGCGCGATATTGTAGTGGTTAAAGTCCTCGCCTTGCACACGCCAGGATCCCACATGGGTGCTGGTTCTAATCCTGGCAGCTCCACTTCCCATCCAGCTCCCTACTTGTGGCCTGGGAGAGCAGTCGAGGACGGCCCAAAGCCTTAGGACCCTGCACCCATGTGGGAAACCCGGAAGAGGTTCCTGGTTCCTGGCGTCGGATCAGCGTAGCACTGGCCCGTTGCACTCACTTGGGGAATGAATCATCGGCCAGAAGATCTTCCTCTCTGTCTCTTTCCTCTCTGCAAATCTGACTTTGTAATAAAAATAAGTAAATCTTTAAAAAAGAAAAAAAACATTACTTTCTAAGCCTGTAAAGCTCACTGAACTAAGCACATTAATGGTGGAATTGTGTTTACTGTTGTTGTTCTAAGGAAAGTACTTACAAGTTTGAGTGTAGCAGTCATGGTGGTTTTAAAGGTACACATATTTACATTAGTGGCAATGGAGTAGGGTGACCTTTCCACTGAAATATTGTCTGTGGTTTATGGAAGGAAGGAAAAGGCATTAGAGTAACCTAAGCTTATGCCAGCTGGCGAAGAGTAAGCTACAGAGGGACTTAATCAAATATATATCTATATATATATATAATACACACACAGAGAACAGAGTGAGAAACTTATAGAAGGAAGACTCAAACACAGCGGCTGACAGAACCTCCTGCTCATGTGGCTGGGAAAACTACAAAGCAGTTACAGCCCTGAGGTGTGCCCTTTGCAGGTGATAAACGACACCAATCATTGCGTCTAGTTGTACTTTTTTTTTTTTTAACAATCTTTACATTTTTATTGGAAAAGCAGATTTATAGAGAGACAGAAAGAAGTCGACCTTAATACCAACCTTTAGGAAATACTCAATAAATGCTTTTATTTAATCTCCTGCCTCATTCCTCAAATGGCCGCAAAAGCTGAAGCTGAGCTGATCTGAAGCCAGGAGCCTCTTCCAGGTCTCCCACAGAGATGCAGCCTTCCTCCACTGCTTTTCCCAGTCCATAAACAGAAAATACATTCTCTCTTACTTCTGGCACTTCATATAGCATAAATATGTATGACCTATCCTTGGGCATGTTAATAACAATATACTCTTCTTCCTCATGTTAAAAAAAAAGGGGGGGGGGAGGGAGGCCACACTGCTAGTGGGAACAACATGGATGGTCAGTAGATCAGACCGCAGCACCTGCTGGCAGGTGCTGGGGCTGGTGTGAGTCACGAAAAGCCACTGAACTGTACTACATCATGGCAAGTGCAAGATCTGGGGCTGGGAGTGGGCCTGGTAGGGAACTGTGGGGCCTCCCCCAAATGAGCACAAAAGCCTGGGCTGGGGCGGGCTCGTCTGGACAGGCAGCAACATCGATCAGCATACATGTGGGCCGGGGTAGGGTCAGGTCTGGCTGAGCTAAGCTGCAGCACCTGTGAGAATGCACAAGCTCTGGATGGGATGCAGGATGGGCTGGGCTGGGCTGGGCTGCAGCACATGTCAGCACACATAAAAACCAGGGATGGGGCAGGCCAGGTGGGAGTTGCTGCGTGTCGCCCTCATTAGCTGGTGGCACCACTGGTGTGCATGAGGACCAGGTCTGTAGTGGGCTTGGCTGGGCCACAGCATCTACCACTTCATCGAGAGATCGGACTGGGGCGGAACTGATCACTGACTGGGAAGCTGTAACTATTGGTACGTGCCTGGGCTGGTGTGGATAATGGCCCGAACTTGACCCTACACTAGCTGGCACAAACAAAAGTCAAATCCCAAGTCACCCCAGGCAAGGTTTCCTGATTTCCCAGCTATACTACTGGGCTCAAATCCTGGCCAAAAGGAAAATCACACTATGTGGGCTGACCTTGGAATGCATGTTACGACTGGGCCTCCTCAGCTGCCTGTGTAGTGGACAACCAACAGACCATGGACATACTTTCTCAACCCTGGTGCAATGAAGCCAATGATGTCTCAGAACTATCAGATCCACTCAGCACCCTGGAGCATTCTTCGCCATATCAGGGTCTCTTAGGTGTAATGAAATGAGTAACATCCATCCCTGGGTGCTGATGTAGTTTGACAGCAAGGATTGTCCCTCTCCCCTTCCTGCCCTGTGAAGAAAGGAAGGAAGGAAGGAAGGAAGGAAGGAAGGAAGGAAGGAAGGAAGGAAGGAAGGAAGCAAAGAAAGAAGGAAGGAAGGAAGGGAGGAAGGGAGGGAGAAAACAAGGAAGGAAGGAAGGAAGGAAAGAAAGAAAGGAGGAAGGAAGGAAGGGAGGAAGGGAGGAAGGGAGGAAGGAAGGAAGGGAGGAAGGAAAGGAGGAAGGGAAATATTTGTCCCACCCACCTCCCTCTCACCCTTCCCACTCTAATCAGAGGCCCACAGGAGCATGCATCCCTCGCAGCTACATAAACAATACTGAAAACAAAATTTAAAAAAATTTTTTTTTCTTTAATTAAAAAAAATGGGCAAGGAGAAGAGGACCCCGGGGTACCCACAATATGTTGTTGTTGGTTTGTATGTTGGCTATGAGTGTGATAGGAGGATCACGCTCATATTTTTTTTTAAAGATTTATTTTTATTATGTTTTTATTGGAAAGGTGGATATACAGAGAGGAGAGACAGAGAGGAAGATCTTCTGTCCGATGATTCACTCCCCAAGTGAGCTCAATGGCCGATGCTTTGCCAATCCGAAGCCAGGAGCCTCTTCCGGGTCTCCCACGCGGGTGCAGGGTCCCAAAGCTTTGGGCTGTCCTTGACTGCTTTCCCGGGCCACAGGCAGGGAGCTGGAAGGGAAGTGGGGCTGCCGGGATAGAACCAGCGCCCATATGGGATCCCGGGCGTGCAAGGCGAGGACTTAACCACTTGCGCCACTGCGCCGGGCCCCACACTCATATTTTATTCTACATATTTTGTGCATTTCTATGTCTATTCTATTTCAACAAAATGTTTTTTTTTTAAATCAACATACTTATAATGCCTGTATCTCTATAAAATTATGTGTATAAACAAGTTCTAGAAATTATCAAATGTGGATTGGGCACTGTGGCTTGGGTCACTCCTTGCAATGGCTACCTGCCCAACTGGCGTGCCTGTCATCACTCATGACCCAGCTTCCTGTTCAGAGGCCCCCTAGGAGGCAGCAACTGGTGGCTTAACTTTGCCAGCCCCTGCTACCCATGTGGGGAAGTTCTTGCCACCCATGCAGTTGGAGTTCTTGACTCTTGGCTTGTCTGGCTTAGTTCTGGCTGCTGGGGCCTTTGGGGAGTAAACCAGCAGATGAAAGATTTCTCTGTTGTTCTTTCAAAGGATAAACAAGCTTAAAAAGAGAAAAAAAGAAAAACCTATCTCAAACCAGCTATTAAAAAATGTATCAAATGTTGCATAAACCAAACAGGAGACAGCACAAGGAAGCGGAGTGCTTCAACAAGAAATCAAAGAGGCACATTCAATTGCGTGCACCAAAAGGTGAGTTCCAGATTCTTCAAAAAAGTAGAGACTGCTCCCAACTCACCCTGGCTCCAAAGGGGAAGAGTGCAGAGCATCCCAGGAGGAGGGAGAGTTTAGACAGAGAAGCAGAGTCAGACACAAACGTGACAGGCCTAGCACGGGCACTCTCGCTTTGCTTGCAGTCAACACAGGGCCATTGTTTCAGTCTTGGCTGGATCAGCCCTGCTTATCTTCTAGCCAATGTGGGCAAATAAGCCGCAGACAGCTATTTTTATCATAGAAGCCTGGCAGGAAAGTTGCCTTTAAACATAATTATATTTAATTTATTTGATATATATTTCTCTGCAACGTGTAAATTTTCCTTTTGCTTTCTGAGGCCATGATAACTTCATTAATCAAGCTGTTACAATAATTGAAAACTAGTGCTAACAATACAGTTGCTTTACAATGATAGACTGTGACCTGTAGGAAAAGAGCTCCACATGCCTGCAAGGGACAAGGAGTAGCAATTTTAAGTGTGTGTGTCTCCCACTGCCTTCTGACCCTGCTAGGTCCTCTCTTTTGCAAAGAGAAAGAAACCCAATGTCATTCTTACCCGGCACACTTTCTAATTCTTAGGAAGCATGGTTTTGATAGAGCATAAAGCTCATTCTGCAGGATCACCCAGGCGTCTCCATGGCAACGTGGGTCTAAGGGCAAGGCTCTGGATACCTGGCTACGAATGAATTCTCATGTCCGCCCTTCCAGCTACTGCCTATCCTTAAACCCTGCCACTGATTTCTGCAGTTTCTCAGGCTGACCCAACCACAAGCCAGGAGTTTTTTTAGGCCAATAACTTTCAGTTGCCTACTAAAAAAAATAAAACATTCAAATCTGCATAGAAGGGAAATTTGCCTGTAATGTAATAAAACAGTCTTCCTTCCCCCTTTTATAGTTCATTCAAATTAAAAAATGACCGTAGGATCTAGGTAATCAACAATTGACTGTACGACTCCACTCAATATTTGCAGGGTAGAATGGCAGCATGTCTTTTAGATGCTTGGGTTATGGGGAAAAAAATCAGTCCCTTTATAAGACACCAATAAGAGGACTATTTAAACCAAGTGGCCATGACAACACAAACTTGGGCAACAGGTCAGGTTCATCATGTTCCCACACGAAGAAAAAAACGCGCAAACTGCCCATAACAATGCAGTGTTTTAGAAAATTACATTTACTTTTAATTATTCTGTGGCTATTAACATCATGAGGTGATTTGAAAATTTAAAAAAAATTAAACTGTGGAAATATTCTGGATAGTAGCAAATAGTATTGCACTGCTTTACTTGTAAACTTTGATTAGTAAAGAGGAAAAGAAAAAGCAGTCAAAGCAAGTACCAAAAACAGGCTATTCATTTCTAGAATCAGAAGATATGAACAAAACAGATGCATTTCTAGTTGATGCAATCCTATTTACATAATAAAATACAAAATTCGGCAGAATCTGTGAAGTAGCTGGCCACATTTAGGATCAGGAAAATGAACTTGTTAGTATCCTGGAATAGGAGAAGAAATGTCACGGAACAAGACGTATCACGTTGAAGAACTCTGAGAAACAGCTGCTGTGGATTACACGGCACGCGTGCCTCCGAGCGTCCTACTTAATGTTGCGGACCACTCTCCTGCAGTGGTTTGTCTTCATCTCCTCCAATGCTTGTTCCAGCTGCTGCACCAGATGCAGCAGCGTGGCTGGGTCCGTCTGTAGAACCTCGGTGGCACGCTCCCCGTTCTGATTCAGGTGTAACTTCATGGTCACTGCTGGTTTGATCTGTTGCCTGAGACTTCTGCTGGCCAGCTTGATTTTACATGGAATAAGAGCAACGCAATGATTTAATAGGCAGCATGAATGCGTGCTGTTATAAACACCTTACACAATACGCAAAAATAGGGGTTAGCACTGCGACACGGTGAGTTAAGCCACCACCTGTAGTGTTGGCCTCCCATGCAGGAGCAGGGTTTGAGTCCCAACTACCCTACTGTAGATCCAGCTCCCTGCTAATGGCCTGGGAAAGCAGCAGAGGATGACCCAAATGCTTGGACCCCTGCTGCCATGTGGGAGACCTGAAAGAAGCTCCTGGGTTTGGCCTGGTCTGACCCTGGCTTCTGCAGCCATCAGGGGGGTGAAGCATCAAATGGAATATCTCTCTCTCTGCTTCTGCCATTCTAACTCTGCCTTTCAAAAATAAATTCTTTAAAAAACACACAAAAATAGGGTTACAGATGAATAATAAGACTTCAAAATCAAAAGTTGTTTGTAAAGAAAATAATCCATAAGATTCAATGTAACATGAGGCCCGACATGGTGGCCTACTGCCTAAAGTCCTGGCCTTGCACGCGCTGGGATCCCATATGGGCACTGGTTCTAATCCTGGTGGTCCTGCTTCCCATTCAGCTCTCTGCTTGTGGCCTGGGAAAGCAGTCCCAAAGCTTTGGGACCCTGAACCTGTGTGGGAGACCAGGAAGAGGTTCCTGGATCCTGGCTTTGGATCAGCACAGCACCGGCCGTTGCAGTCACTTGGGGAATGAATCATCGGATGGAAGATCTCCCTTTCTGTCCATCCTCCTCTCTGTGTATCTGACTTTGCATCCTCTATCATCATAGCTGCTCCACTTCTGACCGCTCTCCCTGCTAAGGTGCCTGGGAAAGCACCAGAGCATGACACAGGTGCTTGTACCACACAGGCGATTCAGAGGTGACTCCTTGCTCTGCCCATTTGGGGAGTGAAGCAGTGGATATACGGAGGATACCTCTCTCTCTCCCTCTAGCTATCACTAAATAAATAAATAAATCTTGAAAAAAAAAAAAACTAAAAATGGAGAAAACAAGCAATAAGTTGGCAGAAGATAATTTGCAGTGCATATATAGGCAAAAATGATTCCTATCCAGAATTTATGATTTAATTTCTCTGACTTAATATGAAAGGAAAAAACCTTCCAAATCTAAGAGAAAAATGACCAAAAGATCTCAGTAAGCACTTTACAAAAGAGCCCAAGATATTGACTCAAGGCTGAAATACAAAGCCCAATGAATCTGGAAACAGAATGTCAACCCTTAAGGTGTGCTGGTCTCCATACAAACTGGCTATCCTAAGGAAAGGCACATCCTGAAGGTCACTTCTCTGGTACAGAAAATTATAGACAGGGTAGATATGCAGACTACAAATATGACGACAGAAAAACTACTTAATAGGGACGGAATAACCCTGTGTTTGTAACTAAGCAATATATTTTTCATGGAAATATTTAAGTCATTAAGTTTCAACAGCATGATATCTAAATTAGTAACTTTACAGGGAAGCATCTATAACATTCTTTCAGAATTCTAGAAGAGATTCTATGACATCCTTCACAAACACTTAGTAAGACATCAACAGACTTGATTTTTTTCTCAGAAACAAGAATGACATTCAGTACTATAGAATTAAGAATGATAACTCCCAAAGTTCTAGACATGCCCTTCTGTGTAATGGAGACAAAAATTCTGTCATCTTCCCTGTAAATACAACTGTAATAACAGCAACTTTTGAAAGGGCATCGATTGTGCTGACCATTTCTGATGTCTGGGAAAATATTCCTACAAGAAATTAAACTATGATGATTAATCTGTTTCCCATAAGCAAGTGCACCATAATTAGATGGTAATTGTTCATTCACTACCAGGCTCCAGTTACTCAAAAATGAAAGGCTTTGTATCCTGTTATTAGCTTCCTAGTCATTTATCCGGTCTCATCCGACATCCCTTCTTCCTGCCACAAGCAGAAAATTCTACTGCAGAACAGCCTCAACTGATGAGCAGAGCGCCCCCATTAGTTCTAGGGCGCTTTCTAAGCTGCTCTGTACATTTCATCTTACGCGGCAATATTCATTCAGTAAATTCTAAATCTTAGACTGAGTGAATCCAGCAACTCAAATTCATCTCATTGGATAAATGAGTCTCTTGAGTTTAATTTTAGGGAATTTTGCTTCTTAATTTGTAACTTCTTAAAATGGCTTCAAAATGGGAAAAACTTCAGTCAACAAAACCAACCAAACAAAAAAAGCGGCTAAGGATTATTGAGGTTGCCCAGGTCAGAGGACTCCCTAATGCAACTGAAAGTTAGCGATGCATCAAAAAGTTCCTGCTGCATCGCAAACCCGAGCCCTCCTGCACCTCCATGGTCATCATGAAAGGCCCTGGCTGGGAAGGCTGATCTCCCCATGTGACTTGCTGCTTACGATGTCCCCAACAGCAAGAAGGGCATCTTGTTCTCTGCTATGCCACAGCACCTGGCAAGAACCAGGTATAAAATGAATGCCTGATAAATAATCTAAACTGATGCTGCCTCCCCACTCCCAACTGCTTGCTAAATCCAACACTGAACTGCCTGGGGAAGCAGTATCTGCCACCATGGAGCCTGCAGTTCAGTTTATACCAAATATCTTATGTTCGTGCCTATTCAAACTCATTACAACTGATGATAATCACAAATTTTTGACTTCATCTTTTCAAGATTTATTGATTTGAAAGGCAGAGCAAGATAGAGGGGAAGAAACAAGAGACAGATTTATGTACTGGTCCATGCCCTAAATGGCCACTACAGCCGGTGGGCCAGGTTGAAGCTAAGAGCTAGAAACTCCACTCTGATCTCTCATACATGTGGCAGGGATCCATCACCACCCTCCTCTGCCTATCCAAGTTCGTTAGCAGGAAGCTGGATCTGAAGCAGAGCAGTCAGGACAAAAAACTAATAGTAGTCTAACCCACTGCACCACAATACTGGCCCTAAGACTGGCATGCACTTAAAGGGAAGCACTTTTTTCCTTCGATTGCTATGTCCAACAAGGCCTGGCACACAGCATATAGTCAACGAATGGATAACTGAATAACTGCAAAGCAGCAATGGATAAATGAAACATAAGGCATCCTTTTCTGTGGTTGCCAGCATGTACCCAAGCATGCTCAATGGCAACACTTTTTCTAAGCTAGCTGCCCTATCCCAAGTGCAAAACCCCAAGTTTTACTATGACAACTACATCTGTTTTCTAAGTCCTAGGCCCTATCTCAACTGACTCCCTGACAAGCTTTCCCCCCCACATTCAATGGTGCTCTTACTGAATGTTCTACTGAAATGGTAGCTGGTGGTTGTTCTGGAAATTGCCCTTATTTTATTTGCTAGCTTTGTTGTGTGTTAAGCATGTGCAACTAACAAGATACAGGCCAGCCGCTGGAGAAATCCTTTTCATTTGTGATTTGAACTCATCTTGCACCCATGTTCTAGGCTCACATCCTCAACTACTACAGACTGCAATCATCCACCTTGGAGTTAGTGTATCTTGAACTGAATAACACCACACAGAAACATGGCTCTTGCACTGGCCAAACTGATTCTTCAAGAGGTGCTGAAAGTTCTAATTTTTTCATGGCATTTGCCTATTTCTTTCTTTCTTTTTTTTTTTTCAAGCAATGGAAAGGATGCAGTCAGGTGGTGGGTATCTTTTCAAGGCAGAAACTGATTTGCAGGTGGCTGGGATGAAGAATAAAGAGAGGAATGCAAAATTCCAAGCATTTAGGCCTGAGTAAGTGAAGGAATAGATTTGCCATTTATTCAGGGGAAGATTATGGAAGCAGCTGTTTTGGGAGGGAATAGATGAGGAAGGCAGGATTCAATTCCATGTCTGAATCTCATCAAACAGCCAAATGGAGATGTCAAATTGGTTTTCACTGTGTAAGTCTAGAATTTGGGGAACATGTCTAACATAAGGAAAGAAATCTGGAAATCCAGAGAATTTGCTTACAAGGGAGCACATGAGGCCATCGAGTTAGATGAGATCACCTAATGAGTGAGAACAGAAAAGGGAGGAAGACTGGGAACTCAGCTCTGGGGCATTCCAAGGTTGAAAGGTCAATGAGGTGAGGCTGAATTAGCAAAGGATACTGGGAAGGAGCAGCAGGTTGGGTGGGAACAAGGAGAATAACTTCCGAGAAGCCAAATGAAGAAATGTATTTAAGTACGAAGGAGTGATTAACCGTGGCAAACACTAATAAATAGAAAATGACACAAAGACGAAAATGCAATGACCTTGACCAAGTTATACTAGCAGCATGGTGACAATGAAGCCGAATCAGAGCTGGTATAGAAAGAATGCAGAGGGCCCAGCGTGACAGCCCAGTAGCTATGTCCTTGCCTTGCATGCACCAGGATTGCATATGGGCACTGGTTCCTGTCCCGGCTGTTCCATTTCTCTTCCAGCTTCCTGCCTGTAGCCTGGGAAAGCAGTCAAGGATGGCCCAAAGCCTTGGGACCCTGCATCTGTGTGGGAGACCGCAAGAAGCTCCTGGCTCTGGACCCACTCAGCTCCAGCCACTGTGGCCACTTGGGAAATGAATTAGTGCATGGAAGATCTTTTTCTCTGTATATCTTCCTTTCCAATAAAAATAAATATAAATAATAATAACAAAAAAAAAGCAGAGGCTGCGGGAGCTGTTAGTAAGGTGGTCACCATGCGGTTGGTGCCCTGCAGGGTAGAACAGAAACAATGAGCAGGGTGCAAGTGGACATTGTATTCGTGCATTGGCACATTTTGGGAAAGCTGCAAAGGGTGTTTGTTTTCAAGTAGCCAAGCTGAGGGTAAAAAGCTAGGATTGTCGGCCTTGGTCCAGAATACTGACAGGGACACGATGCAAAGACAACTGTAAAGTCCTAACTCCAGTACACATCTTGTGCAGCAATGGCCTCAGACTAGGGGGAAGTCCTTAACTGCGCACTGACAGAGCAAACTTCGCCAATCAGAAATCAAGCTCAAGGCTGCAGCATT